GGGGTGGAGGATGGAGGAAGGAGGCGGCGGCGCGCGGACTCTGGTCCCCCGCGGGCCGGTGTTGCTGGTCCTCTGCGGCCTCCTGAAGGCGTCTGGCGGTGGCCGAGTGCTCCCCCCGCTCAGCGATGACATCCCTTTCAGAGTCAACTGGCCCGGCACCGAGTTCTCTCTGGTCAGTGCTCTCGCGTACCCCGCAGCCATCTCCCTTCTCTTGGCATCCAGTGTTGGGCCCCATTCCTTGGTGTTCTTTGCTTTATCCCCCGAGAATCTCTGCAGGCTCTTGCCTATCCAGGCTAAAACTTCTTTTATCTTGCATTCATTCGTTCGTTCGTTCATTCCGCACATCGTGTGGCTGTGCTCATGCTGAGCATTAAGGATCCGACGACCACCAGCTCTCCCTTTTTTAATTCTGTCGCACTGGACCTTGCTTCCCAAGACTCCCACCCTGTGGAAGCTCATTTCTTAGAATCGTGTCGGGCGCATTTATTAATCTTCCCTTTGGAGAATCAACTGCAGTTTTTCCTCTACCAGCAGCCAGCGTTCTTTCTTTGAGGATTAGACACCACCGTATCCAAACACGGTACTGCGGACACGACTTCTTCCTCTTGCACACACACACACATTCACAAACTCACAACCCCAACGGAAGCTTTTCCCTTCAGAGTTTTTTCTTAGAGGACTATTTGGACTGTGAGAAGTTACCGACTCTCCTGGCCCCGTATCTTTTACAGTTTTGTTTTATGTCTGCTGTTATTTAAGACCCCGGAACGTGAGTTTATGATAAGTTTCTTACGGTGAAAACGTATAGTCTCATGAGAATGAAAATTTTCTTTTGGGCTGCTGAAGTCTTCCTATCAACACGTAGCTACTGCAGGCCAATAAAAATTGTGTTCTTACCGTATTTATATCATATAGTAATTAGTCCATTCCCAGTGAAAGTCTTGGGAAAAGCAAAAGTTAAAAAAAAAGGAAACATCTCATTCCAATTATCTGCAGTCTTTAGCCCTGGGATACTGATATATTGTTCTATTACTATTTTATTGAGACATTAATAAGTGATACCGTGACGTCAAAATAAGATTTACCAGAAACGTGTGTTATCTTTACAACATAACTTTGTATTTCCAAATGTTAGCTTTTGCTCATATTTCACACTTGGTTTTTTTCTTCACCCATCTATTCTTTCATTAGTCTCCCATTCTGATAGTTCAACAGTTCTTCAGTTTACCTAGGTAAATATTTCTCCGAAAAATTAGATTTATCTTTGTACTGTATCATGCCTATTCATATATTAAAATATTTATATAAAATATTGTTACGATTCAGATAAAACTTTAGGGGGCTTGGGGTGAGAATAGGTTGACCTCCATTGATGTTTCCAGTGAGCACACTTACAATGACATGCAAATGTTTAAAGAATGTGATCATTAAAATTTTTTACTCTTGGCACCTGTGTGTTTTTTTGTTTTTGTTTTAAATTAAAAAGGCAAAATGAAGAGGCCAGGCCATTTCTGTGGCATATTGGTTAAAGAAATCAGATACCATATGCCTGACAGATTAGTAGTTGTGACCCTGGGGGCTTAAAAAACAGGCCAGGAATGGGTGCATGCATCTTGCCCAAAATCCCAACTGGATGGAGAAATAGGTTCTCCCTCTCTCTGACTCTCTGGCAGTTTTTTTTTTGTTTTTGTTGTTGTTGTTTTGTTTGTTTGTTTGTTTTTAAAGCATACTGATAAATGGCCCTGAAAACTTACTATTATTAAACTTAGTATATAACTAAGACTAAAACTAGCCCTTTTAGAGGCTACTACCAAATTGTCTTTCAGTTTTCCTCCGGTAATGTAGTGTGTGCTGGTTAAAAAGGGGTTTTATGGATAAGATCGCAGTTTTAGGTCATGATACACCAATCTTTAACATATCCTTTTATTTATTTATTTACTTATTTATTTTTAAAGTTTGCTATGGGGCGTGTGCCAGCAAGAGACAGAGGAGATAAAGTGAGAAATCCCCTAGGAGGATGGCACACCACAGTTGCCTCTTCTATCCATTCTTATGATTTTGGGCACATACGTGCCTGGTGTGACTTTCAAGCCACAGGTCCAGGAGTTGAACCACATAGCTGACTGTGGGATCCAGCCACGCTAACCTCCATGCTACCTGCTGGCCTGATATACCTATTTTATTTTGAATTTTATTTTTAAGTTAGTTTTCTTTGTCAATGTAGCGAAAGTCAAAATGGGCACATTTGAAGATTTGGATTTTTTTCTTTTTTTTAAAATTTGCATTATTTTGAGAAAAATCTAGAGTTTTTCTCTGAAGTGGCAAAAAACCTACATGACCTGCATGCAGAAAGGGAACATGAGTTATTATTATTGGTCTTTTTGTTTTTTATTTCTAAGAATTCTTTATTTAATTCCTTTTTTAAAAAAAATAGACAAAGAAAGGAAAAGCGAGAAAGCAAGCTACTTGGTCCAGGACTTTACCATGGGGTCTAGCACCTTAACCACCATGCTATCTGCTGGCCACTACCACTGGTATTTTTATTACTTTAAATAATTTTATTATTTTTAAGGCTTCTTTTCCCTCCTTTATTTAGTTGAAACTACTGCCCTTCACACCTACTGCTGCCATGTTTTTTTCTTTATGAGCTGCTAATTTGGACATTATTATATGACTTGTTACTTACTAAGATAAGATCCTTTGTCTCTACATCTGAAATTAAAAGAGATTGTGTTAGAAGATCTGAGGGGTTTTTTTAAGCTTTAAAAGTCTTCTGTGCTTTAAATCATCTTCCTAGGGCCAGATGTTGGTGTGATGGTTAAGATAGGTGGATCTCTCCTAGCTGACTGCCCAGTTTGAGTCCTGGACCAGCAGCTTGCAAAATGCTGGGCACATGCGCATGTGTGTCTAAAACCCCAAGAGGAGAATGAACGAGAAGAGATAGTAGCATGGCCATCCCCCTCTGGGGGTACTTTCTCACTCCTTATCTCTCTCTCTCTCTCTCTGCCTCTCTCTTTCCAGTAAGTGCATACATTCTGAAGCAAGTTTGGAAAATAAACAAATTATCTTCCTATTCACATATGTCAGAACAATACATAATCTTTTATAAATGCTTTCAGATATACTTAGAACAATATAAAACACAAAAAAGTGTAAATTTATTAATGTTTACATTAGCTAGTTAGTAACTATGATATTCTTTACTCAGTTTTGTTTTTGTATATACATTTTCCTTCTGAAGTTCCATCTCTGTGTCATTAAAGTGCTTAATTACAGGTACAGCAGGTGGCATGATGGTTAAGGTGCTGGACTCCCACGTGGCCAACGGCTGTTTGAATCCTGGATCTAGCAACTTACATTCTCACTTTCCCCTCTCTCTCTGTCTATCTCTGTCTCTCTGTGGTAAGCGTATATGCCCTATTATAAATGAAAAATAATAATACTGGGGACATAATGTTTATATCGCTGGACTCCCACATATCGACCGACCACAGTTCACATCCCAGACCATGCAGCTTAAAACTCATGTTGGGCATGTGTGCGTGTCTGCCCAAAATTCTGAAAGGAAACTGGAGAAGGGATTGTGGCATGGCCATCCCCCCCAGGGGGTGATTTTTTCGCTTTCTCTCTCTGTCTGTCTCTCTAGCAAGCACAAACACCCTATAGCAAAACTTCTCTAAAAATAAAATAAAATAATAATAAATAAAATTAAATAATTCTTTTTTTAAAAGTACTTACTTTCTGGGAACCAGCAGTTAGTGTAATGGCTATGTTGCTGGACTCCCACGTAGTCGACCGCGGTTCGTGTCCCGGACCTGGTGACTTAAAACTCACGCCGGGCGCGTGTGCGTGCGTGCCCAAGATCCCGAGAGGAGAATAGAGGAGAAGGGATTGCGGCGTGACCATCCCCCCTGGGGGGTGTGATTTCTCGCTTTCTGTCTCTATGTCTCTCTCTGTCTGTCTGGCGAGCGCACGCGCCCTACAGTGAAAATCTCTCCAAAAAAAAAAAAAGTACTTACTTTCTCATCACTCTACAGAGTTTATGGATTTCACCAAATTGAACTATAAAAATAAATCTAATTTTTTGTCTACTTCTGTTAATATAGAGTATAGTTGTTCTTAATTTCCAGGACCCTTGCAGTATCTAAAATTCTTGTATGCTCAAGTCCCTTATATAAAATGGCATAATATTTGCATATAACCTACATACATCCTACCGGATACTTTAAATCTCTAGATTATTTTCTTTCTTTTTTTTTTCTTTTTTTGGAGAGGTTTTTGCCATAGAGCACGTGTGCTCGCCAGACAGAGACAGAGAGACAGAAAGCGAGAAATCACCCCCCATAGTCCCTTCTCCATTCTCTCGGGATCTTGGGCACGCACTCACACGCGCCTGGCATGAGTTTAAACCACCGGGTCCGGGACTCGAACCGCAGTCGACTACGTGGGAGTCCAGCGACATAGCCATTATGCTAACTGCTAGTCCCTCTAGATTATTTTCAATATCTAATGCCATGTAAATGGTATACTATTAGTTGTTTAAAGAACAATGACAAGAAAAAAGTCTACATGTTAGTACATGCAGAGAACTTATGGATATGGAAGGCTGGCTGTGTATTTACACTCAAAAAATTTCCCCAACCACTACACTTGAGAAAAATGTTTAGTAACTCCATAGACAAGTTGTGCCACTGAGTTTATTTTACAGCTTCACCTAGAAGTTTTACCTCTCATTCTCTAACAGTTTCAAATCCTCCAGACAGCTGTCAAACATTAGAAGTTTCTGGGGCTGCAGGTGGTGTGATGGTTAAGGTGCTGGGTTCTCACATGGGCAACCATGGTTCAAGTCCCAGACCTGGTGGTTTGCTTTCTCACTTTCCCTTTCTCTCTCTCTCTC